GATACAGTAGTGATGATACAGTAGTGTTGATACAGTAGTGTTGATACAGTAGTGATGATACAGTAGTGTTGTTGTGTTGATACAGTAGTGTTGATACAGTAGTGTTGATACAGTAGTGATGATATAGTAGTGTTGATACAGTAGTGATGATACAGTGTTGTTGATACATTGTGTATGATACAGTAGTGTTGATACGTAGTGATGATACATAAGTGTGTTTTGATTGATACAGTAAGTTTGATCAGTATTGTGATACAGTAGTGTTGATACAGTAGTGTTCTTGTGTGATCAGTAGTTGGAATACAGTAGTGTTGATACAGTAGTGATGATACAGTAGTGTTGATACAGTAGTGATGATACAGAAGTGTTGTTGTGTTGATACAGTAGTGTTGTTGTGATGATACAGTAGTGTTGTTGTGTTGATACAGTAGTGTTGTTGTGATGATACAGTAGTGTTGTTGTGTTGATACAGTAGTGTTGTTGTGATGATACAGTAGTGTTGTTGTGATGATGCAGTAGTGTGTTTGTGATGATACAGTAGTGGTTGTATTGTGTGTGATACAGTAGGTTGTTGTGATGAACAGTAGTGTTGTTGTGTGATACAGTAGTGTTGTTGTGATGATACAGTAGTGTTGTTGTGATGATACAGTAGTGTTGTTGTGATGATACAGTAGTGTTGTTGTGTTGATACAGTAGTGTTGTTGTGATGATACAGTAGTGTTGTGTGTGATACAGTAGTGTTTTGTGATGATACAGTAGTAGTTGTGTTTTTGTGATGATAAGTAGTGTTGTTGTGATGATACAGTAGTGTTGTTGTGATGATACAGTAGTGTTGTTGTGATGATACAGTAGTGTTGTTGTGATGATACAGTAGTGTTTTTTGTGATGATACAGTATGTGTTGTGTGATAGAAACAGTAGTGTTGTTTGTGATGATACAGTAGTGTTGTTGTGATGATACAGTAGTGTTGTGATGATACAGTAGTGTTGTTGTGATGATACAGTAGTGTTGTTGTGATGATACAGTAGTGTTGTTGTGATGATACAGTAGTGTTGTGTGATGATACAGTAGTGTTGTTGTGATGATACAGTAGTGTTGTTGTGATGATACAGTAGTGTTGCTGTGATGATACAGTAGTGAATCCCTGATGAACACTTGATAAATATTACCTTGCTCACACTCCAACAGCACGTCAGGTCCTAAAATCCATTTGTCTCCATTCGTTCCTATGTAGCACGCTCACGCATGTTTGCTGGAAGTCCAAGCCCCTCGCGCACAAAACCTCCTTTACCCCCTCCCTCCAACATTTCCTAGGCCGACCCCAACCCCGAACCACCTCAACAACCCCCCCCCCTCAGCCTCCTCCTCATTTATGTTCATGCAAAGTTCAATAATTTTGTACTCAAAGAACTTTAAAATCTTACCTAACCTTATAACAAGTGCAATTTAATTTAGCCTAATCCAACTATATATATTTTAGATATGTTTACAATAATTTACGTTTAGAATGATTTTTGTGAAATTATTGCATACACAAATTTTCGCTTGCCTTATTCGGCAAGAAAAGCGTTGCTATTTAAGCCAAAATCGCAAGTTTTACCTATTCAACACCACGACACACACACACACACACACACACACACACACACACACACACACACACACATATGTATATTTATATATATATATTCTTGGTGCTCGTCCCAGCGGACAGCAGCGGGAGATGGAGCTCGACCGCGGAAATGGTTGACAGGAGACGGCGGAAAGTGAGTGAAATGTTTCTCTATCTCTCCGAACAGAATTAAATTGTACCTCCATATTTCCCCCCTGGCTTGTGTGTGTGTGGGTGTGTGTGTGTGTGTGTGTGTGTGTGTGTGTGTGTGTGTGTGTGTGTGTGTGTGTGTGTATGTGTGTGTGTGAGTATGAGTGTGTGTGTGAGGTGTGTGTGTGTGTGTGTGTGTGTGTGTGTGTGTGTGTGTGTGTGTGGGTGTTGTGTGTGTGTGTGTGTGGTGTGTGTAGTGTGTGTGTGATGGTTGGTGAGTGTGTGTGAGTGTGTGTGTGGTGTGTGTGGTGTGTGTGTGTGTGTGTGTGTGTGTGTGGTTTGTGTGTTGTGTGAGTGTGTGTGTGAGTGTGTGTGTGTTGTGGTGTGTGTGTGTGAGTGTGTGTGTGAGTGTTGTGTGTGTGTGTGTGTGTGGTGTGAGTGTGTGTGTGTGTGTGTGTAGTGTGTGTGAGTTGTGGTGTGGTGTGTGTGTGTGTGTGTGTTGGTGTGTGTGAGTTGTGTGTGTGTTGGGTGTGTGTGTGTGTGTGGTGTGTGTGTGTGGTGTGTGTGGTGGTGTGTGTGTGTGTTGAGTGTTGTAGTGTGTGTGTGTGTGTGTGTGTGTGTGTGTGTGTGTGTGTGTTGTGTGTGTGTGTGTGTGTGTGTTGTGTGTGTGTGTGTGTGGTGTTTGTGTGTGTGTGTGTTTGTGTGTGTGTTGTGTGTGTGTGTGTGTTGTGTGTGTGTGTGTAGTGTGCGTGTGTGTGTGTGTGTGTGTGCAGCATTTTGTCTACATGTTCTACACAACCCTTTGTTTCACAACCCATGTTTCGCTAAGTCAAGTTTCAGCACTCCCGTTGCTTCACACCCTATGTTCCAAAATGTGACCATTGTTGCAAACTCCCTTTGTTTCACATCTTGTTTCACGCCACCTTGTTCCGTAACTCCTAACTATCACTTTCACACCACCGTGTTTCACATCCCTCTTTTTTCACACCCTTTAATTCCACACCCTCTTGTTCCACACTCCCTTTGTTCCACACCCCTTGTTTCACATTCCTTTTAGTTCCATATTCCCTTTTTCGCATCCCTTTCTCCACGCCCCCTTGTTCCACGCCCCCTTCTTCTACTCCCCCTTGTAACACATTGCTATTGCATTTTCATTTATGCTTCCTTACAGACATTGCATGGATTGAATAGATATTTAAATTGACTTTAAAATGCAGCCAACTTGTTCCAGATGGCAAGAATAATTACTGGAATATTGTTGCAAATATGTTTCTAAATTTTGAAAGCAGTTCTACTTACACTTGTTCAGTATCTTCTAGTTTAACATCTTAGTCATTACATCCCTTGTTCTTCACCAATTGTTCTTAACTCCTTGTTCTTCACACTGCATTCTTCACGCCTTCTTCTTCTCTTGTTCTTTATCCCATTATCTTCTCTTATTCTTTACACCTTGTTCTTTACTTCATGTTCTCCACCCCTTGTTCTCCACCCCTTGTTCTCCACCCCTTGTTCTCTACCCCTTGTTCTCCACCCCTTGTTCTCCACCCCTTGTTCTCCACCCCTTGTTCTCCACCCCTTGTTCTCCACCCCTTGTTCTCTACCCTTGTTCTCCACCCCTTGTTCTCCACCCCTTGTTCTCCACCCCTTGTTCTCCACCCCTTGTTCTCCACCCCTTGTTCTCCACCCCTTGTATCACTCCCTTCTCCACCTGCACCGCCATACCTCAGTTCTCCACAACTCTTACCCACAAATTAATCTAAACTTTGCTGGCAATTGGCCATATGTGAGGTGAGAGTGGACCAGTGTAGGGCTGAGAGTGGACCAGTGTAGGGCTGAGAGTGGACCAGTGTAGGGCTGAGAGTGGACCAGTGTAGGGCTGAGAGTGGACCAGTGTAGGGCTGAGAGTGGACCAGTGTAGGCTGAGAGTGGACCAGTGTAGGGCTGAGAGTGGACCAGTGTAGGGCTGAGAGTGGACCAGTGTAGGGCTGAGAGTGACCAGTGTAGGGCTGAGAGTGGACCAGTGTAGGGCTGAGAGTGGACCAGTGTAGGGCTGAGAGTGGACCAGTGTAAGGCTAAGAGTGGACCAGTGTAGGGCTGAGAGTGGACCAGTGTAGGGTTGAGAGTGGACCAGTGTAGGGCTGAGAGTGGACCAGTGTAGGGCTGAGAGTGGACCAGTGTAGGGCTGAGAGTGGACCAGTGTAGGGTTGAGAGTGGACCAGTGTAGGGCTGAGAGTGGACCAGTGTAGGGCTGAAGTGGACCAGTGTAGGCTGAGAGTGGACCAGTGTAGGGCTGAGAGTGGACCAGTGTAGGGCTGAGAGTGGACCAGTGTAGGGCTGAGAGTGGACCAGTGTAGGGCTGAGAGTGGACCAGTGTAGGGCTGAGAGTGGACCAGTGTAGGGTTGAGAGTGGACCAGTGTAGGGCTGAGAGTGGACCAGTGTAGGGCTGAGAGTGGACCAGTGTAGGGCTGAGAGTGGACCAGTGTAGGGCTGAGAGTGGACCAGTGTAGGGCTGAGAGTGGACCAGTGTAGGGCTGAGAGTGCCTCCCGCTCTCACACCCTATATTACACAACCTTAGCCAATAAGTTAACATTATTGCGGGTACCTGCTTGCTATTATTCTGTCTACAAGCTTTCAGTTTCTCGTAATTCAGTAATCACTGTTAGCAAAGCAAATAAGAAAGCAAAGTGCTATTATAATCTTGTGGGAGAGTTCTCTTGTTTCCTCTTCCCTCTTCCTCCTCCTACTTCTCTTGCTTTCTCTTCCCTCTTCCTCCTCCTCCTTCTCTTACTTCCTCTTCCCTCTTCCTCCTCCTCCTCGTCCCGAGGCACCTACGCCCGCCTGGACCTTTGTCAAATCTTTTACGTTCAAACGTTTCGTTCTGTAACCGTGTGTTATCTCCTAAATACATTCATGATTAGAGCAGGAAAATGGTAAAATGTTTGGCAGGCCTTGAAAAATTTCTCCAATTTTTGTTGTCAGCATCAGCAGCGTTCTTCTCCCTCTCTCTCTCTCTCACTCCCCCTCCCATCCCTCTCACCTCTCTCCTCCTCCTCCTCTCCCTCTTCCCCCTGCGCGCTTACACTCATTAATTCCGCTACGTCAGCAGTGGCTCCTCCCTCGGCAACTATTGGCCGGCGCTACGAAGAGCCTTCCAATGCGGAGCATCGCAGCGCGGTGGCGCCGCCCAGGCTGTTATGCGCAGTTGAGTAATTTTCTGGCCTGACGTTAGGCAAGCCCCGCCTAAGGGCTGCTTTATGCTGAATATGTTTGAGCTATTGAAAACTTTCCCCGCGTCTCTCTTTCAATTCTAGCAAGTTTTAATACTGCCGGAGTCAGGCCTAAGCCTCTGTAAAGTTACAATCGAGGAAAAAACAGAACGGCCGTAAGTTTAAGGTGTGTGTGGAAGAGTACGTGTGTCCGCCTCAGCCTCCAGAGAGGGACTTCCACGCCAAGGTAAGTGTCTGTCTCACACACACAATAATACACTCCAAGACTCAGTCTGATTCTTATTTGGGGAAGCTTACGATTGGCCAAGCTTGTGAATCTCAGATAATCTTGCCCTAATCAGCTTTGTGACATTTTTAAGACTTAGATATTATCGTTGGCGAGCGTGCGGCCTAGCTGCGTGGGGCGCTGGGGGTATCGTGTGTGTTGTCTTAGTGCCCAGAGCTGTGTGGGGAGCTGGGGGCATCGTGGCTCCCAGGACAGAGCTGTGTGTGGCGCTGGAGGTATCGTGGCTCCCAGGACAGAGCTGTGTGTGGCGCTGGGGGTATCGTGTCAACGAGACCAGAGCTATGGGGCGCTAGGGGCATCGTGTCTATGAGATCAGAGCTGTGTGTATGCTGCTGGGGGTATCGTGTCTACGAGGCCAGAGCTGTGTGTGGCGCTGGGGGCATCGTGTCTACGAGGCCAGAGCTATGGGGCGCTGGGGGTATCGTGTCTACGAGACCAGAGCTGTGTGTGGCGCTGGGGGTATCGTGTCAACGAGGCCAGAGCCATGAGGCGCTGGGGGCATGGTGTCTACGAGACCAGAGCTGTGTGTGTGCTGCTGGGGGTATCGTGTATACGATACGAGTGCTGTGTGTGACGCTGGGATATCGTGTCTACGAGGCCAGAGCTGTGTGGCGCTGGAGATATCGTGTCTACGACGCCAGAGTTATGGGACACTGGGGGTATCGTGTCTACGAGGCCAGAGCTGAGTGGCGCTGAGGGTATCGTGTCTACGAGGCCAGAGCCGTGTGTGACGCTGGGATATCGTGTCTACGAGGCCAGAGCTGTTGATGGATACGTGCTGGGTAGATCGTGGTCTACGAGGCCAGAGCTGTGTGTGATGCTGGGGTATCGTGTCTATAAGGCCGGAGCTGTGTGGCACTGAGGGTATCGTGTGTACGAAGCCAGAGCTGTGTGTGACGCTGAGGGTACCGTGTGTACGAGGCCAGAGCTGTGTGTGATGCTGGAGGTATCGTGTCTACGAGACCAGAGCTGTGTGTGATGTTGGAGGTATCGTGTCTACGAGACCAGAGGTGTGTGTGATGCTGGAGGTATCGTGTCTACGAGACCAGAGCTGTGTGTGGCGCTGGGGGTATCGTGTCAACGAGGCCAGAGCCATGAGGCGCTGGGGGGCATCGTGTCTACGAGACCAGAGCTGTGTGTGTGCTGCTGGGGGCATCGTGTCTACGAGGCCAGAGCTGTGTGTGGCGCTGGGGGTATCGTGTCTACGAGGCCAGAGTTATGGGACGCTGGGGGCATCGTGTCTACGAGACCAGAGCTGCGTGTGTGCTGCTTGGGGTATCGTGTATACGAGACCAGAGCTGTGTGTGGCGCTGAGGTATCGTGTCTACGAGACCAGAGGTGTGTGTGGCGCTGAGGTATCGTGTCTACGAGACCAGAGCTGTGTGTGATGCTGGAGGTATCGTGTCTACGAGACCAGAGGTGTGTGTGATGCTGGAGGTATCGTGTCTACGAGACCAGAGGTGTGTGTGTGATGCTGGAGGTATCGTGACTACGAGACCAGAGGTGTGTGTGATGTTGGAGGTATCGTGTCTACGAGACCAGAGCTGTGTGTGGCGCTGGAAGTATTGTCTGTGTGGTCTACATGCCCAGAACTGCAGCTGTTAAGCAGAGGAACAGCGCTGTGATGCCGCTGGTGCTGCTGCTGCTGAACACGGGAACATTGTTGTGGTGCTGCTGTTGTTGCTGCTGTTACTACTGTTGGATACGGGAACAGCGTCATGCTGCTGCTGTTACTGTTACTACTGTTGGACACGTAGCAGTACTGTAGTGCTTTTGCTACTGGTGCTGTTTGACTTGAGAACCGTGCTGCGGTGCTATTACTGCTGCTGTACACGGTAGAAGTGCTCTAGTGCTGCTGTTGCTGTTGCTGCTGCTGCTGCTGCTGCTGCTGCTGGGCACTGGTGCTTCAGCTGTAGAACACAGCTGCTGTTGTTGTTCCTGGTGGACATGGGAACAGTGCTACTGCTACTGTCACTGCTGGTCAGGGAAACTGCTGCAGCGGCTGCTGTTGCTAAACACAGGAACAGCTCTGCTGCTGATCAAGGAACAGTTTTTCCGTTGCTGAACATAGGAACAATGCTGCTGCTGTTGGACACGGAAAGTCTGCTGCTGCTGCTGCTGTTGGACAAGGAAAGCATGCTGCTGATGCTGCTGCTGTTGGACACGGAAAGTCTGCTGCTGCTGCTGCTGCTGTTGGACACGGAAAGCATGCTGCTCCTGCTGATGGACACGGAAAGCATGCTGCTCCTGCTGATGGACACGGGAAGCATGCTGCTCCTGCTGTTGGACACGGGAAGCATGCTGCTTCTGCTGATGGACACGGGAAGCATGCTGCTCCTGCTGATGGACACGGGAAGCATGCTGCTCCTGCTGTTGGACACGGGAAGCATGCTGCTCGTGCTGTTGGACACGGGAAGCATGCTGCTCCTGCTGTTGGACACGGGAAGCATGCTGCTCCTGCTGTTGGACACGGGAAGCATGCTGCTCCTGCTGATGGACACGGGAAGCATGCTGCTCCTGCTGATGGGACACGGAAACATGCTGCTCCTGCTGTTGGACACGGGAAGCATGCTGCTCCTGCTGTTGGACACGGGAAGCATGCTGCTCCTGCTGTTGGACACGGGAAGCATGCTGCTCCTGCTGATGGACACGGAAAGCATGCTGCTCCTGCTGTTGGACACGGGAAGCATGCTGCTCCTGCTGATGGACACGGGAAGCATGCTGCTCCTGCTGATGGACACGGGAAGCATGCTGCTCCTGCTGATGGACAAGGGAAGCATGCTGCTCCTGCTGATGAACACGGAAAGCATGCTGCTCCTGCTGATGGACACGGAAAGCATGCTGCTCCTGCTGATGGACACGGGAAGCATGCTGCTCCTGCTGTTGGACACGGGAAGCATGCTGCTCCTGCTGATGGACACGGGAAGCATGCTGCTCCTGCTGTGGACACGGGAAGCATGCTGCTCCTGCTGTTGGACACGGAAGCATGCTGCTCCTGCTGATGGACACGGGAAGCATGCTGCTCCTGCTGATGGACACGGGAAGCATGCTGCTCCTGCTGATGGACACGGGAAGCATGCTGCTCCTGCTGTTGGACACGGGAAGCATGCTGCTCCTGCTGATGGACACGGGAAGCATGCTGCTCCTGCTGATGGACACGGGAAGCATGCTGCTCCTGCTGATGGACACGGGAAGCATGCTGCTCCTGCTGGACACGGGAAGCATGCTGCTCCTGCTGTTGGACACGGGAAGCAACTGCTCCCTGCTGTTGGGACACGGGAAGCATGCTGCTCCTGCTGATGGACACGGGAAGCATGCTGCTCCTGCTGTTGGACACGGGAAGCATGCTGCTCCTGCTGTTGGACACGGGAAGCATGCTGCTCCTGCTGTTGGACACAGTAACAGCATTGCTGCTGTTGGATACAGAAAAATAGCTGCTACTGCTGCTGTTGCTACTCTCTTGCTGAACACGGATACAGTGCAGCTGCTGCCGTTGCTGCTTCTGCTGTTGCAGAACAATGCTGCTTCTGTTACGGAATAGGGAAGCGATGCTGCTATTACGGAGCAGAGAAAGAATGCTTTTACTGTTACTGCTGTTGCTACTGCTGCTGTTGCTACTGCTGCCTCCTCACACACTCGATCAACACTGATCCTGGGCTCTTGGGACCTGTCTTACTGACAGTGCTTGTCACAACGTGTATGAAGCCTCCACCACTACCTCATCCTTGTATGAAGCCTCCACCACTAACTCATCCTTGTATGAAGCCTCCACCACTACCTAAGCCTTGTATGAAGCCTCCACCACAACCTCAGCCTTGTATGAAGACTCCACCACTAACTCATCCTTGTATGAAGCCTCCACCTCTACCTCATCCTTGTATGAAGCCTCCACCACTACCTAAGCCTTGTATGAAGCCTCCACCACAACCTCAGCCTTGTATGAAGCCTCCACCTCTACCTCATCCTTGTATGAAGCCTCCACCACAACCTCAGCCTTGTATGAAGCCTCCACCACAACCTCAGCCTTGTATGAAGCGTCCACTACTACCATCATCCTTGTATGAAGCCTCCACCACTAACACATCCTTGTATGAAGCCTCCACCACTAACACATCCTTGTATGAAGCCTCCACCACTAACACATCCTTGTATGAAGCCTCCACCACTAACACATCCTTGTATGAAGCCTCCACCACTAACACAACCTTGTAAGAAGCCTCCACCACTAACTCATCCTTGTATGAAGCCTCCACCACTAACTCATCCTTGTATGAAGCCTCACCACTAACCATCCTTGTATGAAGCCTCACCACTAACCTCATCTTGTATGAAGCCTCCACCACTACCTCATCTTGTATGAAGCCTCCACCACTAACTCATCCTTGTATGAAGCCTCCACCACTACCTCATCCTTGTATGAAGCCTCCACCACTACCTCATCCTTGTATGAAGCCTCCACCACTACCTCATCCTTGTATGAAGCCTCCACCACTACCTCATCCTTGTATGAAGCCTCCACCACTACCTCATTCTTGTATGAAGCCTCCACCACTAACTCATCCTTGTATGAAGCCTCCACCACTACCTCATCCTTGTATGAAGCCTCCACCACTACCTCATCCTTGTATGAAGCCTCCACCACTACCTCATCCTTGTATGAAGCCTCCACCACTACCTCATCCTTGTATGAAGCCTCCACCACTACCTCATCCTTGTATGAAGCCTCCACCACTAACTCATCCTTGTATGAAGCCTCCACCACTACCTCATTCTTGTATGAAGCCTCCACCACTACCTCATCCTTGTATGAAGCCTCCACCACTAACTCATCCTTGTATGAAGCCTCCACCACTACCTCATCCTTGTATGAAGCCTCCACCACTACCTAAGCCTTGTATGAAGCCTCCACCACTAACTCTTCCTTGTATGAAGCCTCCACC